TTCTGGATATAGGCATTTTAACCGTTTTTTTTTTATAAACGCGTCCGATATAACCGTTTAATATTTTAACCTGCTGTTCAAGCCACAGGCACGCATAATAAATTCGACGGATTTTATCAAACTCGAAGTAGCAGCTATAAATATATAATCTGTTGTTTAAGCCACAGATACGCTTTTCACAAATTTAAACACTTGCCTGTTGTCTAAGCCACAGATACGCTTTTTCACAAATTTAAACACTTGTCTGTTGTCTAAGCTACAGATACGCTTATTCACTGATTCTAATACCTTAAGTATCTTACCACTGGTGGTGGATACAAAAAAACTCGAAGGACCAAAAATATTAAAAAATTACCCCGTAGTAAAAGTTTAATACGCATTGAATGTTTGTAAGACACTAAATTTATTTTTAAAAATGAACTGCTTATATAGTAACTTAAAATCTATCCTTATCACTAAATGCATGATATTGGTTTATCTCTCAAATTGAAGATACAAAATATTTGATCATAAAATAAACAAAGAAAATATTCTATCCTAAATACACAAGTAATTTGAGCATGCGTAAATAAGCAATTTGAGCAGACAAGAAAATACTCTATCCTAAATAATCAAGTAATTGTTATCTTCTTGTGCGTTGGTGGTATTTTGCTTACATGAATGATAAGCAATTTAAACAACCACCACTGCTAATGTGCACGGATTTCTTATCCTAAATACATTAAAAAACCAATTTTATCATGCCTAAATATAAAATAGCTAAATAGTAAAGGCCGCAGAGTTTTCCTTAAGATAAGAATGTTGAGAAAATTTATTTAAATTTGAACACTATGTGACGGCAGATCTAAATCTAATTATTCCATTACCAAACAAAAATAATTTAGAAATTGTAGGAAAAAACGAATTAGTAATAAACATTAGCGGAAAATATTATAATTATAAAGAAAATACCTTGCTCAAGGAACTAGAATTAAGTAAGAGTTGTATATTTTCTAACTCATACCAATATAAAATAAACAATGTAACAGAAGTTATTCCTATTGAAGATGATTCTATATTAATAAAAAATGCTGTAAATTTAAGCCTATCCTAAAATTGTACAAAAAGGAAAGTAGTTTTGAATAAAAATAATTTAATTAATTTTTCAAACTGTCAAATAAAAATTTCAAACATTGAATATAATAATCAAAAAAAGGAATTCTATGAAAAATATCAATTACAATTGGATAACTCCTTAACGCAAGAAATACCAGAATTTGAAAATATTCATTTAGAAAAATTTAAATATAAAAAAGAAATAAAAGAATTGTATTAATCATTATAATTGTGTTATATGTTTATAAAAGAAAGGACCAAATAAAAATTGTAAATAATATTCAAGACAATAAGGTCGATGAAATCGAACTAAACCAAATTAAAAGAAAGAATGGGATTGAACAAATTTTTTTTTTTTTGCTTTCCTTACTTCTCACTGTAAGGACGGAATTTTGTACAAATTTCCGCCTTATATAAACTTATAATTTTTACAATAATTTCGTCTGCGTAACAATCTATTTATATATTATAAAGAAACAAGCAGCGAACATCCACACGCAAAGCCAGCACAAGTCAAGCCAAGCTCACGGCAGAGCCGTTACCTCGCGAAGAAATGCATTATTTGTTTACGCACGCGGAATTACACTTGTGCGGTTGTGCGTGCAAATAATAAAGTGACAATAATTGCATATAATTAGACGAGATTTTTGTATGCAAAATCACTTAGCGCCAGCATCCCGAAGTGAGTAGTCACCTGCTCTAACGCTAAGTCTTTTTGAAAGTCTATAGTATTTTGATACTAAGGCTAAATAAATTTGTAGAATCGTATATAACGACTCAGATGTTCTGACATCGTTGGCTAGAGTCCAGTGAATAGAGTAATGTTATATAACGCCTCTGATGTTCTGACTAGAAGCTATTTAGTGGAAATTTGTATAACTTCTGTAGCATAATAATTAGCATAAGTTAATTTGGAAGCTCTCTTGAGTCAATAAAATTTTATAATAAAGACAGTCATTTTAACACTACAAACAGCGTCTTTGCTTTTCCTTGGTCTCAGAGCTTCGAACTAGTCAACAAAACAAATTTATTGCAACGACCCGGACCGCGACTGAATGATACCTCAGCAAAATTAAAATTCACCTAATCAAACAACGAAACATCTACATTGCATCCTACTAATTATTTTATTATCGTTGTTCGACCTAATCAAACAACGAAAGATCTACATCATACTTTATTATATTCTATTATCTTTAACTAAACATTGTAACTATAAATATTGTTGAATGTTTTATATTTTTTTTGCTTTGTTTAATTTGCTTTCTTTAAAGTAGTTAAAATAACGCGCGTGCTGCTCATTTTTTATTGTCAATATGCAACCCAATGTTGACTTTCGTCAACCTTGCACATATACGGTACTTCCAAATACAAAAAAACAACATTAATTTTTACAGTTCTTTAGCTTCACTATTGAACTGGCATTCTCGATCGCGCTCTTGCATTTCAAGTCCCGAATAAACAGCACGCGTTTTTGAGTCTAAAATTAAATTTTCTAAGTAATCTTTAAAATTATAATTTCTTAACTTATGTACATTGAATTTAAAATTTTAATTTCTTAAATTAAGTGTAAAATTAATTTAAAATAAATACAAAACTATTGTAGTTTTCATTTTTAATAAATTTAACTTAAATAAAATATAAAGTATTGTGATTCTCATTTTTTATAAATTTAACTTAAAAAAAATACAAAAACCATTGTATTTTTCATTGGCGCCCGAGCATGGACAAAGAAGCATCCAATTTCATATATTCTGATGAAAACACGTGCATGTTATCGCATGCTCTCACTTTGTTGGGTTAAGTATAAAACAGAAAGTTATTTTGTAAGAGAAAATATAGAGAACAAGTAGAATTTAAATTACGATCTGAGCAAGCTTTGAGTAAAAAGCTTTATTTGTAAGCTCGGACCATTTGAATATAAAAGCAAGAGCATCGCTCACTTTGTTGGATTTTGTCGGCTAAGCATTTTAAAGTAAATATCGTAATATGTAGAACATTGAAGTTTTCATTTTTAGTTTTAAGTTAGTTTTAAGTTTTCATTCTTTTGCACGGTTTTAAGAGGGTTAGAAGCGAATTCTACCCATTAATAAATTTATCTTTTTTAAAACACATAACCGAACTCGAATGAAATAATTGGCGCCCGAGCAGGGACACTCGTCACAATTGCAGAAAACATAAAAAGTACGCGACGCGAGTGTAAAATATAAAATTCCTGCAATATATAACACCCGATAACAAAGGTGTTTGCAGTGGATTAAAAACTAACAAGTATCCTAAGAAAGGAGAAAAGAAAACCTTGATAAACCTTGATAAAAAAGTGTTATTCGGAAAGTGATCAAAGTGCTATTTGAATAAAACATTTGGTGGATTATAAAGTGAATAACAAAGTGGTGAAAAATTAAAAGTAACCCAAAAAATTTTTAAATCACAAAAAAGCCAAATTCAATAATAAAGAATCGCGCGGTCATAAACACTAATTTCAAGACATTAAAATAATTTAATAAGAAAGTGACTTCCTATAATCAGCCGCTTCGAACAAATTATTTATCTGCTGCCAACTGGAGCTGAAGAAAAGGATTCCTGGACAGCAAAGAACCCAACCATCAACAATCAAGTATCCTCATCATCAGGAGAAACGTGAGTTAGGTTTAACAAAAAAATTAATTTTTGTATGAATAAAATCAAATTATTGTTATTATTTTTGAATTGCCATCGTGAAGAAAAAACGAACATAAAACTTTATTGAAAAAATCTTATTAAGAATATTAAATATTATATAATTCAATTTAAAATTAAAAAAAAAAACGAACATAAAATTATATTAAAAAATTATTACTAAAAATATTAAATATATTATTGAATTATATTAAAAAAATAAAATTTGAAAATATTATTTTTTTCAAATATATTAAAATTAAAACTATATTGAAATTATATTGTTAATCACCCTTAAATCTGGAAGAACTAAAATTAATAATTAAAAAAATAATAATATAAAAAACATACTGTATAATAAAAACTATAAGGCCTTACAACAACCCAACATCATCACCCTCAACATCACCATTTGCCACATTTCTTAACGAATTGGTGGAGGTATTTTTCTTTTTATATTACCAATAACCAAATTTCCCTATTATTAAAAAAAAAAAAACAACAAGTTTTTTAAAAGTCTTAAGAAATTAACATATCTAAATAAATTTCTTTCCAGTATTAATAGTATTAATGTTACAGAAAATATATTTTTTTTGCAAGAAATTAATCATTTTAAATAATACCCTAGTACATTTAGATTAATAAAATATTATAAAAAATATAATAATCATACAAATAAATTAGAGTTTCAAATTAAATTTTTGAAATTTTCAATATACATTTTAAAATAATTGTTAAATCTCCGTAAGGTAAAATCTTGGTCGTAATAGCTACATAAAAGACTTCATCTTCTTAACGTTGTCAAACACTAGTAATCAGCTGTTTGGCAACAAAAGGAG